CACGGTTTCGGTTCTGACTGACGTTGCCCGCTAAGGCAGTCTCCCTGAACGCCATTTTGTTTTTTTCTGTTTACATTCACACGGTTAGTGTTTTTCATCTGATCATCGGCCAGCCTGTTCTCCATCGCGGGCGAATGCACTAGCGGGGCGTCTAAACACGATTCGATCGGGCGCGCCATTGGATTGTTTATACGCCGAAGCTCTCTCGTCGCGTCTCGCTTTATAAAAGTTTTCATTCCTTCTCACCAGTGCAAGAACATTCCTGACGAAAAAGACTTTTAGGCGAGGGAAAAAAATCAAACGCAAAGCCAGACGCTGGCGAGGATGCGACGCAAGAAGGACGAAAAAAAGGAAGGGTTGTGTCCTCATTGACTTTCAAGGAAGACTGCCTCCCCGAGGGTCACGTTCGCATCCAACGTCCTCAAATCGCAATTGCATCTATGGAGCGGCCGGGCCCCCGAAAGATGCGACCTGCATCGGAAGAAGTCAATCGCACGGATAATACGCCGAGGGGAGAGAGAAAAGGATGGAGCGGCACTGGCAGCGCAGTCCGAAGGGAGACGGAAAGAATGCGATCGCCAGAAGGGAGGAAAAAAAAAACCTCGTAAGAAAAAGGGGCGCTCCTGATGAGAACGATTGGTCCGGGGACGATTGCGCCGATAGGAACGGAAAAGAACGCTGCGCACTGTGTGTGTGTGTGCGTGTGTGTGTGTGTGTGTGTGTGTGTGTGTGAGCGTTAGTCTGGCTGTGTGCGTGCGCTGGGGGTGAAATATGTCATCCCCTTGTCAAAACGGCGTCAGCAACGGCACTGCAACTGGCCCCGGGGCCAGCCCTTGGCCCAGCCCCTCCCCCTCGCGCGGCCTGCAGGGCGTTTCCTCGAGGAGGCTTCTAATAACGCCTAGTGGCAATCAGTAGCAGCGAGCCCCAGTGGGGTTGGCGATATTAGGACCCGCCGCGCCGCGCCCCGCCACGCCACGCCACGCCCCGCAACGGCTGCCGGCTGTCGGCGTTGGCTAAAGTTTCCCAGGCACACCCCTGCTGCTGCTGCGCGCTGCAGCAATTTGTTCCGGATATTGCCTTCTTTTCTTTCGTTTTGCAATTTAGCTTAAATTTCTCAGAAACGCGGACCATGAAGAGAATTAGAAAGATTTCGTGTTGGCTCTCTTTTCGTGAAAGCACCCTCCCCCCTCCCATGTATCCCTCCTCCCCCCCCCCACACATACTTTTGCAATACGGGCGAAAGTTGTCGTGACCAAAAAGGGCCGCTCTCTTTTGTGAATATGTTGCATAAAATTTCGTTTTATGCGCCGTTTGTGGCAGTGTACCGCGGCGTGGGGTGGATGGGATGGCTGCAGACTCGAGGGAGGATCTGCGAGGGTCGGCCGCCTGCTTGTCTCGGAAGATTGGCTCCAGCGGCGGCGTGGGGCGGCGGGGGGAGGGGGAGGGGTGGCCGCGAGGGAGGGGGCGATGGCGGGAAGGGTTGGCGACTAAGCCCGACGTTAGCCCGACCGCAGCGCGTCCCGCGCCGGTCCCAATCTAGCCCCGAACGGGCGGAAAGTGAAAATAATCATATTTCCGGACCGGAATACCACCAGCGACCCGCCTGGGCTCCGGGCGTGGCGCGCTTGGCAGCGCACACCTCGCAGGTGGGACGGTCCATGGGCGTTGCGACGTGTCCGTGCATGCTCTGTGTGTGTGTGTGTGTGTGTGTGTGTGTGTGTGTGTGTGTGTGAGTGAGTGTATGTTTGTGTGTGACCTGCGGCATCCAAGTGCAACAGCCTCGTTTACATAGAGAACAGGTTTCAGTTGTCGGTGGTGCGGTAGATGGTGATGGTGGAAGGTTGTGGCGGTAAAAATGTACACACTGCCCTGGCTACTCTGTCTCGGAAGCGAAAATGGTAAAAATTAGCGCGCTTTTGAACTACCGACGCACTTCCGTCGGGTCACAATGTGAAATGCGTTTCAGGAAAGCGTAGAAATAATTTTCGTAACTGTTAAAGGAAAATAAAAATGACCTCTGCGGCCGCTTTTTCCCTCTGCTACTCGTGTCTGGACTCAGTTTCCGTGAGTGTACCGCGCCTTCGACTAACCGCTATCGCCGGCGCTGTATCGGCCCGACATCCTGAAGCTCTTTGCCTCCGCTCCTATATACTACATTTTATCGGGCCAGGTTCGCGGGCCCGGCGTCGAATCCACGCCGAGTCCACGTAAACGGGCATCGGCCGCACTTCGGTGCGTGGCTCTCTGGCCGCAGTGCAGCGGCCTGACGCCCTGCCTCCGTCTGCTGCGGGGAGGGAGGTTGGTGTCACCAAGGCCGCCGGGCTGGCGGCGCGCACAGTAATTTTTAATCACCTAATGGGGGAGGCATCCCCACCGAATGCCGCCCAGACCGGGCTGGCGGCAGGCAGATGGCACCTGGACCGGCAGGCAGGCAGGCAGGCAGTGCACTCCGGCTGGGGAGGAGCCCCCCCTTTCTTTCCAAACGTCGCGCTCTATCTTATGGAACAGGATGTGTCAGTTTAATCCCGAGTGGCAGGCCGGCCCGGCGGCATGGCGGCCGCGGCGAGGGGCGGCGAGGCACGGCGAGGCCGCGCCTGTCTCTCTCAAGCCGAGGCAGGGCCCGTGCGCGCGAGAGAGACGGAGGCCTGTCTCCGCGCTGCGCCTTCTTCTAGTGCATCCGCGCTTTTCGGCCCCCTGACCCTGACTTTTTAATCAAGGGGACTCCATCCATGCCGCGTTGCTGCACGGAGGCGAGGCGGAGGCGGAGGCCTGGGCAGGGCCGGGGGTTCGTTCGTTCGTTCGTGCCGCGCGCGTCAGTTGCAGCCGACGTCCGTTCCCCCGAGCCCGGGCGAGCCGGGCGTGGTGGTGCCGAGCCGAGCCGGTGCGTCGGGTGCGAGCCGAGCTGCCGGCCTGCGGGCCCAGCCGCGCCACCCGAACTCGAGCCGAAAGCCGAGCCGAGCCGGGCCTCGGGCCCCCGCTGCCACGTCCAGTAAGGCGGCCTGCCGGGCCGCCCCGCCCGCCCCGCCCAGTGCCGCCCGGCCATACACTTGCTTCTTTATCGCCAGCTGTCCCGGCCCCTGGTCCAACCGCCCCATCCCCCCACTCCCCTCCACTCCCCCATCCCCGCCCAGCTTAACTGATTTTCAACTGGACTTAAGCACTGTCGAATCGCAACAGAAAATCTCACTTATGCCCCCAGTTGCAAGTAGTACGGCTCCACCGTGGCGCCCCCTCTCCATCTCCGAATCCCCGAACTGGAAGGAGTTAACGCAGCACTGTAAATCCGTCACCCAGGGCGACAGCCGATCGCTTTTATTGCGGGCAGTAAATTGAGGTGGCGACGCTTGTGTTTTCTTCGGCGCGCCGCCAATAAATTAATTGTTTTGCGGCCCGCTGACCACAGTCGCCCCAAATAATTATGATTTATATTTTCTCGGGAGATACCCGTGCTAATCCCCACCACCACAAAAAAAAAACTTCACAGGAAATAACACACTCTTTTCATATAAAAATTTTTTAGCGCTCAGTATTTGAGAGAAAAATAATTCAAGCAATCAAATTACAAGTTTCTTTCGTTTTCTCTCTCTTTTTTCTTTTTTTTTCTGTGGTTGACTTGGGGTGTTGCCTGTCTCATTTGGCCGTAATATAAGACCTTAGCGCTTGATTTACGCGTTGGTAGCGGTGTTTGCGGTGTGCGTCAATGTGTGTGAGTAAGGTGTGTGTGTGTGTGTGTGTGTGTGTGTGTGTGTGTGTGTGTGTGTGTGTGACCAACGCGCTTCGCAATGTCCCCCCGCAGCCCACCGAGGGTGGCATAAGACTGCGTGTGCACTCGTTCTCCTACGTCCGTCTCGTTCTAGCGAAAACACTTAGCCGACGAGAGGGACGGAGACGGACGCGTGGACCCGTCGTTTGCGACGCGCTTTCGGCGGAAGGGAGGAGAGAGACCGCGCCGGGAAGGCTCGACCCACAGAATGGCAGTCGGCAGGGAATTTAGTAAACTGCAGTTTCGTCAGGCAGTTTTCGGCCGTCACTGGGGCCGTTCGTTTGTGCGGCTCCTCCTCCCGTCCGGCGATGCCGCGCTGCCGGCCGTGTGAAGAACGGATGGCCGGGCCGTTCTCACGTCGTCGGCAAAGGCGGCGGAAAGCGATAGTCGCGCCAATAATAATATCTCCGTGCCATTTTAGAGGCGAGGGAAAGACCACCTAACGAGTGCGGGGTAATCAATTTTGAAATTCGACTATTGATTTTTAGCCGTGTGCGGTCTCCTAAAGGGAAACGACTTTGAATGCGCGCCTCATCGCCGAACCGCACGCACGCTCACGAGTGCCCTGCTGGCACGCACACACACACACTCGCACACACTCTCACGTACACATGAGGAGCTCCGCAGAGTATTTACATCACATGAACGGGTCCTTAATGACCTCTAGCGCGGTCCTCAACGCGTTGTTTGGGTGCCGTAAAGAACGCCGTGGGAGAAGGCGGCGTGCTTTACCCCTTCCGCTGGCCGGCCGCCACGCCGGGTACGCCACCTGTGATAAAGAGCCGCGCGAAAGAAAAAAAGAAGGCGAAAATCGTGTGGGGGTAAATGCAAACTCGCTCGAGGACGTGGAAAAAAAATTGAAATAAAAACAAATAATTAGGTCAGGCCGATCTCGGCGGGCTGTGCCGGCCGGGCGGCAGTCCGTTGCCCCCGCGACGGTGGAGGGGGCGCCGCTCGGCTGCAGTGGCCGCATGGCTTGTTTACGGTCGTACAGTATGCAACCTTGTGGGGAAGGCGCCGCAATGCGCCGCATGGACCACTTGTCGAGTAATTCATGCTTAGCCCGCGAGTTACAGTCCCAGACTCGATATCCGCGGCATGGCCGCCGACGCGGTGGGGACGGCGTGCCACGCCGCGCCGCCTCGCCCGCCGCCATCTGCAACGCGGTGGCGGCCAAGCTTCGAAACAAAAGTCGCTTTTCGTAAATATAAATCGCATGATTTTGACAGACTGTTACCTGGAACGTGGTTGGTGAAGAAACTGCACTCGGCAGGGGCGAGGAAGGTGATCCCGCAGCACGCGTCTGTCGTGCCGGAGGCCTATGCTGAATCCAAAACTGCCGCCTTCTGCAAAACAGAGAACTGATGTAAGCTCTAACCAAAAACAGCGCCGTTTCCCTTTCAAAGATCCATTTGAAAACCCTGGGAAACTCATTAGATTTTTACCTGCGGAAGAAGCAGCTCTTGTCGGGTCAGGCAGGCCGTCCCGTTAAGCTTGAGTGTGGTGCAGGTTGCCTACCCTGCAGTGTGAAGGCGCCAGGCGCAAGGTAGGCCGTCCCGTTAAGCTCGCCCGCTGTGCGGGAGGCCTACGACGAAGTCTCATGGCCCCTACCGGCGGGGAGGTGTGTCGACAGCGCTCATCTGCAACAGCAACAGACCGAGTTTGCAGGCTGATTCTGAACTGAACAGAGTTGTTTCGTCGCCCTGTCTCCCTCGCACTCATAACGCGTCCCAAGAAACGCTGCTCGGCATCTTCCTTTTGCACGGTGCAGTCCGTCCCTTGCCTTCACGATTCGACCGCGCGTGTCGCTGGCAGTATCGTGTTACAGTGTACCCCTCGGCGCGCACCCCGGCCTGCGAGGCCTGCAAGGCACGCAGCGAGCACCCCCCGCCTCGCCGCGACGTCGTCAGGGTCTCGTCGCGGAGGACGAACCCGGGGAAGCCAATTTGGCCCAGCGGCATTGAATGCGACAAAGTTTAGCCATGAAGCGGGCAAGGCGCAAGCGGTACCGCGGCCGAGGCCAAGCAGCCAAGCGAGGGGCCGGGCTGGCCAAGTCGTCCCCGCACGTGTCTCTATGCAAGCCAAGCCCAATCTTCGGCCGGCACGGCCCGCGCTGCCGTCTTTGTCCGACAAAAATCATCCGGGGAGCTCGGAGGTCCCGGAAGGGGAGCCCGGCGGGAAGCGTGTTTGCTCGGCTCGCCTGCCGGGCCTCCGGAGGGCTCTAAAATTGGGAAACATTTTTATGCAACGCGGCGGAGAGGGAGTTGCCGAGGGCGTGCCGACTTATCGGGGCAGGCCGGTATTTGCATAGCGCGACGTCGGCACTCGGAAAGGTGTCGGGCAGGCGGTGCTCGCTGCGCCTCCAGGGCCTCCAGCGCAGCGCCCCCGCGGCACCTCCCCGACGGCCGCCACTCTCGTTGAACCAATTGAGTCGAACTAACTGCCCTGATGAGCGGCCATGGCGCGGCCGCGCAATGCGGGTGGCCGTCGACGGAACAGAGGTAGGGCGCTGCCCCCGCCGTGGAGGAACCCGGGGGCGTTCAGTGGCAAATGGCTTGGAACGGCTCAGGGGGCTGAGGGCGGCGCGCACACACAAACACACACACATGAATCTTGCTGCCACGCCGCCCTTTCCCGCTTTCGGCAAAGGCAGCCCTTATCTGGACGGGCAGCCTTGCCCTTTGACCTCGGCCGTAACCGCCTGCACTTCGACCCTTCCCGTCGGCCTCCCTTTGTGGTTGGGCTGGATGCGGATGGCGGGAGGGGGCCTTTCTTTCGTCAACCGCCAAAGCCGCACCGCCGCGGCCGCGGTGTGAAAGAGTCTCCCAAAACAAATGGCCGCTAATGTAAACAGAATCTAATTTTAAATAAACGGATGATGCTCGCGGCGGTAAAATGGGGCTCCCCCACGCGGCCGCCGCGTCGCCGGCAGCGCTGCGCGGTGGCGCCCTCGTGCGGCGCGGCCCGGAAGCTCGGGGCGCCCTGAAGGAGCCGCTCCGGCGAGCGAAAGGACAGGTACGCGTTTCGTTGGGAACCGAACTGGGAACCACCAGCGACACGCGTCGCTCCACCAAGTCACGTGGTCCGGCGTCCCACGGAGCTCTCAAGTTACAGCACTACTTTGCCGTGGCCTTGAACCGGAGAAGCGCTCGCTCGGCCGGGGCCACGCTCTGGTCCATGTGTGTGTGGGAGTCACCCACCTCCAAGTTCAGACGAAAAACAGCAGAGCGTGTAGTAATCCCCTGGAAAAATTAAAAACGAGGAAAATGTTTTTGGTTTGGCAGTGTAGCTCGCGGCGCGCCCCAACCCTCCAGGCCGCTCCAGGCCGCCGCGCTCCCTCCCTTGCACGCTCCAGCTCACACACCAGCCGCCACCCACCAGCCACCCACCAGCCACCCACCAACCAGCGGCACGGCGCGGCAGCCAGGCCGCTCCTTGGCGGCGCCATGGCCTGTATTGATTGTACTTCATCGCGACGCTACGCCGCGCTACGGGCCGGGGGCATGCGGGGGCATTGCTACGTACCGCCAGTCCACTGACATCGCAGGCATGTCTGCAGCAGTTCTGACAAGGCGTCTTCCACCAAAGAAGCGCCAAGCCTGGGCTGCAATCGACTGTTTTACCCCCACTTTCTTCATTTTGTGTTCAATTTTGTGTTCAAACCGTGCAACTGCCCCCATCCCCACAAAATAAGAACAACGAAGTGCAAACGCGAACAACATATCAAAAAAAATTAAAAAATGAAAAAAAAATTGCTTAAAAACGAAAGGAAATTTGACCGAATGTGAATCCTTGTCTTCCTCCGAACCTTTTAACGGGCTGCCTACACGATTTCGCTTTCGTTCCCCGATTCTATGGTGGTCACCTGGCCACCCTTTTCTCCCTTTTTCCCTTCTTTCCGTGCTTTGTGCTGCCACTTTCTCCTCCCCCCGCCGCGCGGCCGGTCTGTCACTCGGCCTCACTTTGCTACAATTTATTTGAGGTGCGCTCAGCTCGGAACAATTGCCGGCCGACTTCTCTTGTGTCTGCCGGCCTCCCCCAAGCCTCCGAGCCTCCTCCGGGCCTCCTCCGGGCCTCCTCCCGGCCTCCGGTCGACCTTCCCCCGTCTGGGGAGGGCGCTCCGGGTATTTACAATAATAGAAAACTCTCTCCGTCTCCGTCGCTCCCTTGTGCAGTTCCACGGAGCCCCGGCCGGCCCCGCTGCAGACAGAGTCTGCCGTCTACGCGACGTGTCGACAAATAAAACTGGAATAAAAAGGCGACCACCCCGGAGGGGGGAAAGATTGCACGGCGATACCGCATGAGGCCGATAACGGTTAAATAGTCGACTTTACGAGCGAAACGGGAGAGTCAAAGTTCGCGCACCACGTGAGCGGCGCGTCTTGCGCGCTCATTGGGAACGATGACCGACAACAAGACATTCCCGCCGACACCTTGCGCGAAAACAGGGTCACTGTGGCCCCCTCCGACGGCGCGCGCGAAAAACCACCATCTTGCGCGCCGACTAGCCAATGGCGTTTGCGGAATTCGCACACCGGGATGGACCCTTGCCGCGCGGAGGCGCACAAAAGAATTGCACGGTCGACGGCAGGAGGCGGGCCGCGCGGCCGGCGGGCCCCATACCTGCCCGGGTCGGCTACTCTGCGCACAGCACACCGACAGCAAGCCGCTGCTTACTTTCCTAGTCAAATTTTTAAAACGTCGCGGCTTTTGCAAATTCACAATGTGCGGGCTTCACCAGTGGCACGGACGTCAGCCCAGCTCTGGGAGCTGCCACGGCGACGACGGCACCGCTACGGAGTCGCTATCTCTTGACGAGATTCTGAACTAAGAGACGTGACCTCGCGTGTGTGTTGGTGAGGCCGCCCGTCTGTGTGAAAAATGAAAAAGGAGAAAAAAAACGACGTCGGTGGAGGGGAGAACTCTATGCATTGTTGACAGGATGCGATCAGTTGGCGTGTGACATTGAAGGGTCGGGGTGGGCGAGCGCTGAATATGCAACACTTTTTTTCCTTTTCTTGGCTGCCGTTCATCTCCCTCCCTCCGCCTCTTATCTCCTAATACGCCATCCCTCTGCGAATATCCGTGAGCGACTGAGTCGTTTGTCAAAAGGCGCGGCGTGGGCGGACGGCGGGGAGGAATCTCTGGAGGAATAGCGTCCTGGCTGCTTCCGTCGCAGGCCAAGATGAACGGCAAATAAAGTTTGAGTCAAAAGATTAGCTGGACACAGAAATAAAAAAGAAGCAGAACCTTTCACGAAAATCACCCACTACAACTTGTTAAATGAATTCAAGATTCGGTTCACTGTTTTATTCTTTCTCAACCCTAAAAAAGAGCTTCCATAAATTCAAAAATTTTCTTAACGTAATTTTCCATCCTCTTAGAGGCAAAAAAAAAAAAATTAAAAAAAAAAAAAAAAAATAGGGACACAATGCTCAGTTCAGTCCATATTTCCATTATTCTTTTCCAAGTAATATAGCGGCACAAAAAAAGGCAGGAAATTAAAAACTGCGAGCAAGCACGGCCGCGCTTCCGGCCGTGCGGGTCGATGTGAGTGAGTGCGTGCGTGCGCGCATGTGGTGCGAGAAAGAGGGCAATAAACGCGGCGGAACGCACAAAGACCGCGATAACCGGCGAGAGAGAAAGGCAGAATAAACACCGGCGCTGACCTACCCGAACCGCAAAACAGTTAAAGGCATACCCGGCCATAAACGAGCCACATAAAAGTAGAAACGACTACCATTTTATGAACTAGGAATCGCAGCATCGCGGGCCAAGCGGCCAAGGTTATGGGGGTGTTGTTGATGGGTCAAGGCCGCGGGGCTGTGATGCGTTTCGGATTGGAGCGGGCGCGAAAAGACGAGCCCGAGTGTCGCGGCGCGGACTTTGACCCTGCGGCCCGGCCGGCACATGTGTTCCGTCTGCCCGGGGGCCCGGCAGCGGCCCGGCGCGTGGCCTTGGCTGTATCCGGGCCAAGACGACCTCGCTACTGCCGCCTTTGGCAACACTGGAAGACCCTAACTCAGTCATAATTTTTCAGTCGTTGAGGTCAACTTTATGATGAAGGTTTGGCAACGCGGCCGGCTTTCTTGGCGGCGCCGCGCGTGGCTTTCGACCGGCAGTCCGGCAACGCGGCGTCGCGGCGTCGCGGCGTCCTCGGGGACCTCCCCTTTCCCCCCATGCCAGCCGTCATCCCGAAGGAACCGGCCGCCGAGGCGCGGCCCAGCAGCCATGGAGGCGCAGCGCGCAGCGGCCAATGAATAAAATACTCGCGCTTCATCTCGAAATGATCACCACTCTAAATAAATGATTTGCTTTGTTTCTTTGCAGACGATGACAGTGGATCTAAGATGGCGACCGCCGTGAAGACGGGCGACGCGGAATGGTGATTGCGGTAAGCCTTCAAGCCGCGGTGCTTTCCGGTGGTCAAATGGCGCAACTTTACCCTAGACCAATTTTCCCTCTACCCAAAACAGGAAGCATGACCTGACGTTTCTGAGGTCAGAGATCCCAGCACAGCCCCTTTGGCAACCATGTTACGTAATATGTGGGCGACCCTTGACAAGGAAACTCCACCTCGCGAACTGTTTGAATGGGGTTCCAGACTGCGACGCCGTGACGTATCACCGAGGGTCACAAGCGACCGTCACGTCACGCACGCTGGCCACGCCACCATGCCACCGCCCTGGCTCGGCTCGGCTCGGCCCGGCCCGGTGCTCGGCTCGAGGGTAATTTACGCCCAGCTGTTGTGTTTACGGGCCGTAATTCGACGTCACGTACTGCCAAGGCGTGTGACGTCACGGGGTCGCCACGCGCCGCCACCGCCACTCGCTTTGCTTATCGCCACTTTTAATCACGATGCTCAATAAATCGCGCGTTTTGACGCGTCGTCACATAAGCACCGCTGTTTACTGCCCCTGGACGCACTGCCCGCACTACCTGGTGCCTTTCACCAATCTGAAAATCTGTGCCCAGTGTGACGTTTTTCTTTTGGTGTTTTATTTTGCTGTTTCCTAAGGCAGCGGATTACTTTATACTTTCCTTCGGCCGATGCAGCACGCCTGCTGCCTCGCAAAATGCAAGAGCGCCGCCAGCCTGCCGGCGCGCCAACCAGTTTCTTCTGTTTTCCATCAGACAGTTTCAAGAGCGGCCTCTGGGATTGGGTCGCGGGTGTGCGGTATGACCAATCTTCCACTTGAAAGGGCTTATGGGTTTGAGATAGGTTGCACGTCTGCCAGGCCACCTCATGACTGTGTGTGTGCGTGTTTGTGTGTGTTTGTGTGTGAGTGCGAGTGCCTGTTTGTATGAGTGTGTCTGTGCGTGTGCGTGCAGCCGTGACCGCCTGTAGTAAGCCGCAAAATTATTGAGGTGCTTCATTTATATTCATTTCCATGGCTGGAAACGCAGCAAGTAATTATACTTCATCTAAACAGCTTACAATACTGACCAATAAGAATTGTCTGTAGCGCCGAGGCCATTCAGCCGCGCACAGCTGTGTACAGCGATTCAGTACCAGTACTAAGCGGTGCCCCACAACGACCCATCAACCAGATGTCGCCGGCGTCGGCTAGCCGTCACTGCTAGTTTCGGTCAATTCAACTCGATCTACTTGATCGCTCGTTTCCGCCATGCAGATTGGCGCTTGAAAAACGGACGAGAATGGCCCTCGTGATGGTCCCTTATCCGAATGGCCCTCTGCCCGCCGATGCGTGAGCCTTACGTGTAATATGATGGGTCGTTGCTTTTACGGGGCTTCCCTGGGACCGGCGGCGCGTGCCGAGAGGACCTCCAACACGCACAATGTTATCAATCATCGGACGATTAAAAGGCCATTGGTTCGACCGGCGGGCAGCTTCCTGGCGGGCCGTGGCGGCGGCAGCGCCAAGGCGGACGGACGGACGGACGGACGGACGGACGGACGGACGGACCGGGCCGAAAGCTCGGAGATGCTGGCTGCATGGCTGCCGGTAGCAAGCGTCAGCTAAATCAGCCTCGCCCCTCCCCTCCCCGTATAATATCAGCTGGTTGCCGTGGCAACGGCAGCGCGGCCAATGGTGGGAGGGGTAAGCCATCGACCATGCCCCTCCCCCTCCCCTCCCCGCCGCAGGCAATAACGGGGCATCCGCCGCGCCGCGCCCCGGGCAACACCCGGGCGATACGGAATCACAAGGGATTCAAAGCCCTTCGCCTCTTTTTCCAGCTTTGCCAAAAAATAACAGACGAAAAACGGCCCCCATTGTTGTTCGGCCGGGATGCCATGCTGGCCCCGGCTCCGCCAATGAGGGGCAGGGGGGAGGCGGCGGTGGGGGGAGCGAGCCGCCGGGGCCGGCGTGGAGTAGTGCGGCGGCGCGCCGACCGGGTTCGGGCTTCTGCCGCGAGAGCGCGCCACGCCCGCCGGCCCCCATGATGCGTGCGTGCGGCGCGGCGCGAGATTTTGAAAAGGACGAGTGTCGCTAATGATCGCGGTTCGCGGTTTGGTCGGCGAGGTTTGCCGGCGCCGCGGCGTGGCCCAGTGCCTCGGCAGCCTCGGCACGCCGGCCGGCGCTGACCTGCCGCAAGTGCAGCGACGCTCCGCTTTTATCGCCTATAAAGCTGTCTGTCCCTGCCTCCCCGCATCGCTCGCATCGTCATTCTCGCGTCCGGACCGTTTTATGTCGGCCGGTCCGATTCGAACCTCCGACGCCCTTGTCGCCGCTACCCGCCGCGGACTCCGCGGGCCGCGTGGTCGCGACCGCTCTTCCGGGCATACCCCACGGTCAATGGTTTTCCAGACAGACTTAGAAAATTTAAATGTACCAAATAAAAACCACCTTCTCTAGTACTTACCTCCTGATCGGGTACTCCTTTCGCGTCCACCTGCCCTCTGAAACGCACCATCTCCACCATTCTGCTGGACGAGCACTCTGACTCCCGAACCGAAGTCGCGGTGATCGCGTTGGCGACGGAGCGGCCGGCCGTCTGCCTAGGACAAGGTGTCGGAGTGCAACTGGCCTCGGTACCGACTTGCAGTGGCCACGGCACGCAAAGAGAAAGCTCAAAGGGTTGCCGGGACACCTCCACCCTGATTGGTCCAGATCGCAGACTTTCTCTTCTGGGCGAGGGATAAAAAGATTTTCACCCCCTCCCTCCCTGCCCTTGGTTAACAATCGGGTGGCCAGCCCTGCAGGGAACGCGGGCATCCGAGCCAGATCTGTCAAGCCTTTGTCACTTTGTGGAGCACGCACGGTTTTGTGGAAATGCCAATGACCTGAGTTGTGTCATCGTGCAGGCTGCGGGCCGCACTGCATCCTCAGAGAACCCTTTCGGCCATTATGTCAGGCCGCCTATTGTGTGCCCGGTCGAACCCATTCAGATGCCCGCTGTGTTGTTCTCGTTTCCGTAGAAACTGGGTCCGTCTGGGCCTTATCGAATGCTTCGGGAAAATGTGTGGAATTGTTGTTTGCACCCTCGGAACTGTTTCCGAAGGTATGGCCAAAAAATACTGTTTTTGCTCGATTCATTTGTTTATATTGTATCGCAGTTTTTCAATGTGTATCATGCCCACACTGCATAAAAATGTATCGAAATCACATTCTATTTATGTCTGATGCAAAATTGTGCTGCTCTTTTTTTTCAGCTAAAATTGTTGGTGAAATTAAAAAGACTGTGGCAGCCTTGTGTGCAGCAAAACGTTGTACTGATTATTCAAGTGTCCATTTTTCTTCTTAAAAAAAGTTTTGACCACCTATCTTTCAGAAATATGGTTTCTGTTCGCTATTTTTAAGTCATTATCTCACAGTAAATTTTAATTTCTGTATCTGAACCAATTTCCAGCTTCGCTTATCTGTGAGAGAGCTATCGAGTAAAAAATATTCTCTCTGTACTTGGACACGCTTCGTTTTAGTGTAAACTTACAGATTTGTTGTTAAATTGATTTTTGCAAGCAGGGACCGGGAAAAAATAGGACAAACATGTTTTTTTATTTTATTTTATTGTATCAACTGCCAGGGAAAGCAACACGATAAACACTGTGCGGAGACTTTATATCGCAATTAGACAGATTGCAAAAGAATGCGCAGTCAATTCAGAAAACGCGCATCCATAGTGCAGTCGCAAATTGCCCGAGCCTTGTCTCCTTGCCAGCGTTCGCCGTTCTCAAGAAGGACGACGCCCCGACGCAGCGCCGACGAGTCCAGCGATGAAAGGTAGGGCCTCCTGTTACGTATACTAAAGGTATACCGGACGAGGATACACTCAGGATACATTCAGTATACGTACAGGGTGCCCCGCATATTGCGACGCCACCGACGACGCCGACCAGAAGCTGACCGCCGCCGACGTCGCTGGGAGAACAACTTTTCAACCGGCTACCACAGTGTGCGGATCTTAATTAGGACCTTGTACTTGCTTCAAGTATATATAATTTTTAAGGAAAAACAAATTTGTGATGCGAAACAACGACAGCGGGCTGGGCTGCTCGCGGCCTCGCCGCGGCTGGGCCTGGAACAGAACAAGCGTGGCAAAGTTAGTCTGGACGAGGTTTGAAATCTGGCTAATGGAAAGCGCGTGCTCTCTTGACAGCGTGGAAGTGTGCATTGGGTATTTACGGCCTGTGGGGCCGAACACCAGTCGGCCGGCCCGGCCTTGGCAGCCTTGGCGGAGAACCTGTCTCGACACACCCGATGCTAATCTCATTCTTTTTCCCAGATGCGTCCGATTCCTCCTTCTCCTCCTCTTTTATCGCGATTTAAGGGCTGGACCTGCGCGGCAGGTGTGGTCGCATACTGTTCGGCCGCCCGGACAAAAGGGCAGAGCGGCCGAGCGATGGCCTTGGCCGTCAGGTAGGGGTGGCCTTCGCTTCTCGCAATCGTGCTTTTTCTGCGGAGAGTTTGCGCGTGGCGTCGCGGCGCCCTTCTCGTGGCACGGCACGCAACGCCACGCCACGCCACGCCAGGGCGCGGCCTCGCAGCCTCCCTTCGTTAACTTATGCAAAGCGTCTCCAGCACGCTTCAGCGCTCCGGCGGGCGGGCGGCACCCCTACCATCCCGGTGGGCGGTGGAGCAGAAAAGCTCCGTAAATTCAAGTTTGGGTTCATTTGACACCCGGAGTGTATGCGTAAGGCGTCGCCCCCTCCCCCTTATGTATACATGAGCGCGGGCGGCTCAGCTCCCCCCTCCCCTCCCCTCCCCTCCCCCCGCGCCGCGCGGCCATATTTAAAATCAATAGGCTGCGCGGTGGCGTCTGCGCACCCCGTGCCATCATAACGCCAAGATGGCGGCGCTGGCGTGCTGCTGGCGGAGATAGCGGCGCTTTCGCGTCGTTGGATTCGTTTTTAATATCGCAAAACAAGGCGAGCAGGGCGCAAACAGTGCGGGGCCGCGGCGTGGCACTCTGGCCGTCGCGGGCACGCACGGCACGGCACGGCACAGACTTTGTGGAGCGGAGAAACACTCCAGCGTTCGAACGGGGAGCAAAAGCCCAGCGAGGCTATCATGGATTGAACGCGCTGGTTGAACCAAACACTGCAAATACATTATACCTGGGTTTGTGCCGTCTGTACCGTCAAATTGGCCCCATTTCAATATTTTCACAGCAAGATCACACATATCGGACGGCATTCAGATGAATCGAATCGGCGCGGGCACCTCCGACTGGCCCAACTGACCGACTGACAGCTGACTGACTGACCGGCGCTGCAGCCGACACGACACTGACACAACACTTACCCTTTGACCTGACAGCGACCTCGGAGTGAAATTCGGCGTCCCCTGGGGCGGTCTCGAGCCTAGCAGACGCACTGGGACGGGGACACTGCAGGCAGGGCAGCGACAAACTGGGGCTGGAGAACTGGAGAACTGGAGAACACACACAAAAGGCTGGCGGCTCGGAGCAGATGCTTGGCCGTTGTGGGCGCACGGCCAGGCGGGCAGCCAGGCGGCCAGCCAGGCCCACCGGACCTCCGACTGTCATTGCTGGCTGGGTAGGTGGGTCCGGGTCCCCCTGTCAGCGGCACCGGTCTGTCGGCCTGCTTCGCGTCCGCTCGTCCGCGGCAAAGGCCGGCGAGACACCTCCACCTACCTCACGGCCGCGTCCACGGCGTCTTAGGCGTACAGGGTGCTACTTACACGCCGCGCCGCGGGTCGCCGCGGGGTCACGCCGGCGCTGGAGCGCTGGAGATGCTGTGCTGGAGCCGATGGCGATGCATGATGGCGAGGCTCCGTCCGGCGAACGAGTGACGTCGGCGTCGCGGCGCGGCACGGCGGCACGGCGTCGGTGGCGTCGCGGCGCGGGGCGGCCGCGGGGAGGGGAGGACGCGGACGCGCCGCGGACGCAGCGCGCATGCCTCGGGGCTGCGTCCGCGGCGTGCCAGGCCCACCAGCGCGCCCGCGGCCGGACTCGGCACGGCGGGTGAATGGCGCGGCCGCCTCGGACGTCGCCCCGCGAGTCGGGTCTGTCCGACGGCCGCCGGGGTCGGGTCGAGCTCCTTCGGCTTTGGCTGGGGTGCGGGCGGCGGCGGCGGCCAGCTCGGCGAGCTGCTCGGCGAGCGGCTCGGCGGCCAGGGAGGAGAAAGGGAGACAGAAGGGCGGCTTTGAGTCGATAAAGGGACAGTTTGGCTCGCTGCGAGCGACGCCTCCCCCCTCCACTCTATCATTGTTTCTCTCGCGGCCCCGCGATCAGGGCGGTGGCGGCTTGGGCCTTCAGCGCTGCGTCGTTTTTGCATCTGGAATGAAAACAAAAGACAGGAACCACTACCTCCCCGTCCCCGAGAGTCGGGAGTGGCGGCGACAGAGTAAATACCCCACGTACCTCATGCCACCTCGTCAGCCGCCGTAAATGAGCACGTCAACGTAAATACTCCGCGCGGCCTGCGGAGGTACGCTGTAACGGCGCGGAGTATCTACGCCCGCCGCACGCACACACTCGTGTCCATCACACACACAAGCACACACACACACGCAGACACATTGTGCGCGCGCAACGACGTCGTTGCATACGGCTTGTATGGTGCTCACACAGTGTAGACGACGGCGGGGCGTGGCGGCGCGACGATTAGGAGCGATTTACGAAGGGCGTAGGAGTGGGACTGTCGCGGGGAAAAAAAAGGAGAGACGGACACAACGGAGAGGGAGAGACAGAGCGACGCGGCGGTCAGGGAAGAGGAAGAGAGAAGCGAGAGGAGGAAGGAGGGGGGCAGGGAATTGGTCTTATTAGAACACGCTATGCCCCAAATTTATGTGACGCATTGAGGGGCCGCTGCAGCGGGTGCAGCCTCGGCCTCTGCATTGAGGAAAGGGGTAGCCGCGCCCCTCCACCGCGTCCTCCACCTCCCTCGCCCTCCTCTCTGCTCCCTCCCCTCTGCGGCCCCCACTCCTGGCGCGGCGGCGTGGCGGCGGTGTGGTGGGGGCCGCCACGGCACTGCCCTGTAGCGCGCTCACCGCCGCGCGGCTGTTCCTGGAAGCTCGGCAAATATTCACGCCGCGGCCCAGCCCTGATTTTGAGCGGCCGAGGCACCGGCCATGGCACGGCCCATCCCGGGACCGGGAAAGGAGAATGGGCGCTTTTATTTAGCGAAAATTGTGTTCATCGGCCTGTACGGGTCTAGTTCACGGGCAGGGGTCAGAGCGCGGCGGTCGCGGCCGACTCCGCGGGAAACGGCGCCACAACAACAACGAACAGTAATCCACTAACGCGGAATGAAGGCCGGCCGTGCTGCTGCACGTAATTTGACCGGCGGTAATTTCAAAAAAAAAATGAGGCAATGCAAGTAAAAGCCGTTTTATATTCAGGCGGGGCGTAAAGCAAACGCTTTGACCTCCGCCGCGCGTCTTCCCTCTCTCTTTCTCGTCGGCCGTGACCCTTTTTACCTCCCCGAGTCCGACGGGGCCCCGACCAAGTGCCGGGGAAATTACAAGGGCCCCTAGGTCTTTCTCTTCCGACAGAGATTCTATAGGAAATTTCAAAAAAGGGAATATTTTAACTTTTTACAT